AATGGCCAGCCAGCAGCCAGGAGCTTCATCTGCGTCTCCCAAGCAGGTGCAGGGGCCCAAGGACTTCCTCCCTCTCCCGCACACACGGTGCTGCAGGCCCACCTTGTGCTTGCTGTGACCGGGCCTGGCTTGAGCTGTGGCTCCCAGGACCCTGGTTCCGGTGACTGGGATGGAATTCAGAAACCACAGCCTCAGTGCTGGCTGTGCCCGGGGCTGCTGGGCTCTCACTGCTCCGGGGCCCGCTCCGCAGATGGAGCTGGGAATGTCCCCTCCCGCGCCCCCATCTGTCTGTGGAAAAGCTCGAGTCACGCGGAGTCCCCTGTTCCAATCCAGCATCGTCAGGGTCACTCTCTTTCTGGAGTTTTCCGAGCGCTCGGACCCTCTCGTGAACACCTCGCACAGTCCCCACGGATCGGGTCCCTGTAGGAGCCCCCTCCTCTGTCCCCTGTGCACCTGCCACTCTCTCCGCCCTGCTCTCCTGCCCCTTGCGCATTCTCAAGGTCTCTTCTCACCCAGGCCACACCTTGCAAGCTTGGGTTCGTTTCTCTCTGCACGATCCCAGGAATCACAGATCACGCCAAAGCCAGTTGTCTTGGGACTGGCGCTGGGGCACAGTGGGTTAAAACCCAGGCCTGCAGGGCCGGCATCCCCTATGGACTCCGGTTTGAGTCCTGGCCGCTCCACTTCCGATCCAGTTCCCTGCCAATGTGCTTGGGAAAGCAGCAGGGTTTGGAGCGGCGCTCAGATAGGTGATGCGGGTGCGTCAGGCCGCGGTGCCACCAGTCCTGCCCTTTTCATCAAAGCTTCCTGCCCCACTCCCCCCCCGCCCCCGCACCCTGCAGTTCCCCAAACTGCTGGCCTCTGGCCTACTCTTCCTGTGCGTCCCCTGCACACGAGCAGGCACCTGTGTGCTTTTTTCTCCTCCCCTCTTCCTTCCTTGAGACACTGCCGGTCACAGACACTCTGTAACGCTTTGCGTATTTAACATCTGAGGCAGAGAGATCAGCAGAGAGGGCGCTCCGGACCACGCGTTCGTTCTCCAGAGACCTGCGCTGGCTGGGGCTAGGAGCAGGAGGTCGGACCAGGTCTCCCACGTGGGTGGCAGGGCCCGGGCGCCCGAGCCACCGCAGCTGCCCCGAGGCCCGCCCTAGCGGGAAGTGGAAGCAGGTACGCAGCCAGGCCCTGAGCCTCGGTTCTCCGACGTGGGGCGCGGGTGTCTTCCCTGCCGCGCGGTGCCACCCCGACGTGTCACTTCGTCAATGTAGCAGGACGGCTCGGCTGTCGCTCCCTTCCCGTCTCTGCCCTGAGCCTCCGCTCGGTGGTCCACGCCGTGCGCGCGCGGCGCCCCTCTCTGCACCTGCCGCGTCCCTGGTGCTGTCCTTCCAGGGACCCGCGGGCGGCTCGGGGGCCTGGTCAGGCGCGGGGGCGGCTTCCCAGGAAGGCCCGGGTTCTGGCGCTCCTCGGTGGGCAGCGCCGGCGTCGGCAGTGCCCGCGCCCCGCCCGGGTCCCGCAGCCGCCTCTGCCGCAGCTCGGCCACTCTCGTCCCGGCCGTGCGCTCTTCTGGCGTCCGGAGCCGCCCGGGGACTTGCGCAGAGCTGCGGCTTCCTTTCAGCGGCTGGGTCGGGTCGTCCCTCGGGATTGGGGGCCAGATGGCCGAGGGGTCTTCATCTGTCAATCACGGGCGCGAACCGGCCCCGGGGCCGCCTCCCCGGCTGTACTACCGGAGCCGGCCGCTAGAGGGGGGCATCGCCCCGCCAAGGCCGCCGCGCACCGCTCGTTTCCCGGGCCCGGGCCACTAGTGTCTGATCTGGGCCGGGCAGCCAGGCCGCGCCGCACCCGGGCTGCCCCTTACCGCCGCCCCGGGGCCGCAAGGCGAAGGACGCCGTAGAGGGAACCCCGGGCAGGTCCGGGAGCCAACGGGCCAGGCACAGAGGGGCCTGTCCTGGAGCTTCCGGGCAGCCTCGCCCTGCGCTGTGCGCACCACCGCGGCGGATTGAGGCCGGAAGGCCAGCTGCGCCTGTGTCTCTCCTCCCCGTGCCCACGGTGGCCAGGGCTGAGCCAGGGCGAGAGCCTGGGGCTGGGAGCTCGGTCCAGGCCGCAGGAACCCAGAGACTTGAGCCGTGCCCGCTGCTTCCCGGCTCTGCGTTCGCAGGAAGCCGGGGTCGGGAGCTGGAGCCGGGAAGTGAGCCCAGGACCCTACAGGGACATGGGTCCTGCACCAGCGTCTCCCCGCCGGCACCAACACCTGCCCCGAGGGAGCACGAGTGAGCATTCCTACTTTAAAGAAACCCACACAGAATCGATTTTCACTGTGCAGAGCCCTCTTTAGAGTGAAAAACCAAACGTTGATAAAAGAGGAGGAAAACTCCCCATGGTCCTGGGTCCTTCTCCTTTGTCCTCAGCCAAGGACCTCGTCCGTGAGCACTGGGACACCGAGAGGGGGCCTCGGCCCACATGGCCAGCCCCCACCTAGACCTCCTCGCGGCAGGTGCTGCCCTCTGATGCCGGTGTCGATGACGCCCGCGTGTGCCCGGCTGGCTGAGCCCCAGGCGGGAATCAACGACCCAAGGAGTGTCCCAAGCCAGCCGAGGGAGGAGCGGCGCCACCTACTGGCGCCAGCGGCTTCCAGCACACGGGCTGGTGGGCGCCCCACCTGCCCCCTTACTGATGCACAGCAGAGGCGCACATTTCCCGCCCACTCAGGAGGGTTTGGGAGCCTATGTGAGCGCCGACTCAGCAGGTGGAGGGAGGCAGGTGCCCATGACCCTGACTCTGCCCTCTTGAGGTCTGGCCTGTGGGAAGTCGCTGGCCAGGGCTGCAGCAGGGCATGAGGGCCCCGCTGTCCAGAGCACAGGCCCTGGGCCCTGGGCCTCAAGCTGCAGGGGCAGTGTGGTGTCAGGGAAGGGAGGATGTGGTCCCGGCGCCCAGGGCTCTGACCCGGCCCCTCCTGCCCTTGATCTTGAGTCCCTGGGAAGGTGACAGCATCATAGCACTCGGTGTGACAGGTGTCATGCAGCAGGGAGAGGCAGGTGCAGGAGACAGGGGCAGGACGGCTGGGCGTGGCCACAGTTGTGACTTCCCAGAGTTCCAGCAAGCCAGAGCAGCAGGGCCTGGAGCAGGGGAGAGGCTGGGAGCCAGGCAGGCAGGGGCAGAGCGGGGCGGGCAGCCGCAGGGGCTCCTGCGTCAGGCCCGCATGGCCTGCAAGGTGCGGTGAGAGTGTCCCCAAGGCGAGGAGCAGGGGCTGGCCGCGGGGCAGCAGTGGGCAGCCAGAGGGACCTGCGGCAGCAGTGGGGCTCTGCCTTCAGGCTGCTCACCTGTGACACGGATCACAGGAGCCAGCCAGCCTCCCTCACCACGCTGTGGTCAGCAGCCCAGGCCAGGAGAGAGGGCCCCCGGGTTGGGGTGGGGGAGGCTGGCCCGGCGCATCAGGGGGCCTGGAGCTGCACCTGCAGGGCCTCAGCCCCAGAGCTGGGAACAGACTGGGGCGCAGCATGGGAGAGAGAGTCCTGGCCAGGGAAGGGACTGCGGCTGCGTGGCAGAACTGCGGCAGGTCCCCCGCTAGGCTGCCAGGAGTTCCCACGGGGGTCCCAGCAGGACCCGAGGTGAGTCATAGCGATACGCGGGGCACAGTGGGTGTCGCCCCATGTGACACACCGTCTGACCTGTGTCTTCTTCATCCCCACCACATGGACGGGGAGTAGGGCTCAGCAGGTAGTGAGTGCCCAAGGCTGACACGCAGCTGGGCGGAGCTGGGGCAGCTCAGACTCCAGGGCGTGGCTCCGCCTACCCCCGCCTGCGTCATCAGAGGAGGATGAGCCTGGGCTCCTGGCTCGGGAGCTCAAGCCCCAGGGGAAGCTACTGTGGCAAGGCCCACTTTTAAAAGCACAATGGGCGTTGTGGGAAGCCCATTAAGCTGCCCCTCAGGATGCCTGCATCCCATGTAGGAGCGCTAGCCGCTTCCAGTCCTGGCTACTCTGTTCCCATTCAGCTTCCCTGGGCCCCTGCCACCCACCTGGGAGCCCTGTTCCCTCGCGGACGTCTCTACTGCAGGCCAGCAACCCGCGCGCGCCCCCTCGGGACCGGTAGCGAATACTGCAGCGCTCCTCGGGGCGCTGGGGCTGCGCAGCTCGTGGGTCGTCTCTCTCTGCCCTGAAGACCCCACCGCGCGCGCCCCCTCGCGGCCGGCAGCGAGCACTGCAGCGCTCCCAGATGCCCCCCGCGTGTGGCGCCCACTGAGACAGTGGGGCCGGGGTCACCCCGCGGGACGGTGCCGCTGCCGCCTGCACGCCCTCGCTCATGTCCTCTCGCCGCCTCTCTGCAGGGCGCGTGCTGCGGCTCTCGCCGTCCGGGGGAGGCAGGCGAGGCTCTTAGGCGCTGCCACCCAGGACTGCACCCCCTGGGTCCCGGCTGAGCCGCAGGGGCGCCCTCTGGGTCCGAATCCGGAGGCGGGTAAGGCAGCAGGGAGCCCCATCCCGAGCTCTGCCGCGCGGCTGGTCACAGCCTCGTCACAGGGGCCGCGAACAGAGGAGTCCCCGGAGGGAGCGGAAGAAAGCAGCCTTCGGAGGGGGCCCCGTGGGAGCGCAGGGGGCGCGGGCTGGGCCAGAGCAGGAGGCGAGCCTGCCCGCCCGCCCGCGTCCCCAGGGGTCCGCGAAGCCTGCTGTGAGCAGGGAGATTGTCCAGGGGAGGCGGAGCGGGTCCCCCGGGCGGCAGGAGGGGGGTGGCCGGGCACTCGGCTCGGCACCTGGGGACCCGCACGGCGGCGTCTGCGCACGCACGGACGGGGACAGCAGTGTCACCCGCGGGAATGCCGGCGTCGCTGCAGCCGCCCTTCTGCATGACGCCACAGACGTGCCCCGGGTGAGAGCGAGGAGCTGCCAGGGGCTTCTCGGGCTGTGACCCCCAGCACCTGCCCGCGGCACCGCACCCGCACTGGAGCTCGTGGCAGGGGTCCCAGGACGGGGTGCGCCAGTGGTGGGCTCTCGGGGTGGCGGGGCGGGTGCCATGGGTCGAGGATCCGGGCTCGGACGAGGAGGAAAGCAAGGCGACGGCACGCTGCTGCCGGGGACCAGAGCACTGGTCAGGGCCACAGGCAGGCGGGCGGCCCGGGCACCGTGAGACCCTGGGAGGAGCCCCTGCGAGAAGCGGGAGGGAGCGCTCAGGTCCCTGACCAGGAGGTGGCCCTGACCCGCGCTTTCGTGACCGACCCTCCCCGACCTCGGAGGGGACATCAGCGTGAGTCGGGGGCTTCCCGTGTCGGTCACCAGATCCCCAGGTCCTGTGTGCACGCGTCCGCAAGATGGCGCCTTTGAGAGGGGCTGCGTCCCCAGGGCTGCCCTCCCCAGGAACTGGGGCCTCCCCGAGCTGACGTCATCACAGCGTCGGGTGACGTCATCGCAGCGCTGGCTTCCCTGTGTGAGGAGTCTTTGATGATGACACGCACATTGTGAAAAACCTATGCGTGGATTCCAAGCTTTTTGCGCTGAAATAAACGTCTTCTAATTCCTTTTGCCTTGATGAGTGCGAGTTCTCCCTGGCTCTCTCCTGCGGCCTCCTTCCTCCCCCCGAGATGCGCTCCCAGATGGCAGCCACCGAAGGGCCAGGCCCAGGGCTGGCAGGACTCCAAGGGCAGGCCCCAGGGATGAGCGCTCAGCTCCGGGGAGCAGCGTCTTCGGAGAGGGGCGTGGAGCCCACCCAACACCAGACCTGGAGCACCCATGAGGAGCAAGACCACTGGCGAGGAACCAGCCCCGCTGGAGCTACGCTCACTGCTGGAGCAGACGGTCCCAGGGGCCGCTGCAGGAACTCTCCAAGGACAATCCGTGGCCAAAAGGGGCGGGCCTTGGGGAGGGTCAGCTTCCAACGTCTGCCTCAGGTGCAGCTGGCCTCAGCTCTCTGTGCGGCTTAGTGGGCTGCGCCCTCCCCTGGAACCCTGGGAGAGACGTGACTTGGGTGTGGCTGGGCACAATGACCACCCAGAGAGTTCAGGGGGTGGCAGGCGGTCAGATCTGGTCAGAGGGACTCGGCCCCATGGCTGTGGTAGGAACCATCGGGAAAGGAGTGTCCCGGGCCAGGCTGCTCGGGTGAGAGGATGGGGGCTGGACACCATGGTCTGTGTGCGTGCACACATGTGTATGGGAACATGACAATGATCACACCCATGTGGCCTTTCTACGTGGACTGTAACTCCTGGCCCTCGCACATGACGCCTCTCTAGCATCCATCACCCTTCCTTCATCCAGGGCCCATGGATAACCCTGCTTCCTCCTTCCCACGTGGACCGATGGTGCTCAGCCTCAGGTCAGGCCCAGGCCCAGGCCCAGCAGTGCATCTCATTTGCATGGCCACAGTCACTGGTGCAGAGCTGGGCACATGATCTAAGCTAGGCCAGTCAGAGTCAGCCTTCAGAATTTTAAAGGTGCTGGAGAGGCGAGGTTCTCCCTTGCTGGGATGGGGAATGGTAGAGTGTCTGTCTTTGCAGCCCTCTTGTCATCATGAGGCATTGTCTGAGAAAAGAGCTCAAGGGAAGTAGATCCAAGGAACAGAGAAAGACAGAAATTAGGTCCAGGGTGTTGGTCCTAAATTGAATTGTGTTCAAAGCCAGCTGCCACTCTGCAGCATTGTTGAGCCAAGGCGTTTATGTTTTCATGTGGTCTTTTCTGCCCCTTCCAGTTAAAGCAGTGTCAGAGCCAGCGGTGAGAAGAGCCCCATTCCAGGAACTAGAGATGATTGGCCAACCTGGAACTGAACAGAAAGCAGTAAAATAAATGTGATTGCAACATTTAAAAATACAAAAAATACAGAAAACAGTCATGAATAAAAGAGGCAAATCTGATAAAAAAATAGATTTTAAGAAATACAAAAACATAGTAACTAACACTGAAACTTCACGGATCAGTGAGAGACATGATGAGATGTGGCTGGAGAGGGAGGGGGTTGGATTGGAGCTGAGAAAGCTGCAGCACCGGTGATGAGGAGATGGCACACGTGACAGTGATGTGGAGAGATGGGCAGGCAGGACGAGATGGCTCAGATACGGAGGGAGGGAGCGGTGAGGAAAGACTGGAGAAGCACATCAGGTTCCAAACAAGGGAAACAGATGCGGCTCCACACCGGACACATCACTGCAGAACATCAAGCACACAGACAGGGAGAGGAAACAGCACAGTGAATGTGGAGCGAGGATTCAGCTGACAGCGGACTTCTCAGCTGCAGCTACTGACGCCGAAAGGCAATGGGATGAATCCTCACCCAAGCAAAGCTCTGAGCTGCAGCTCATCGTCCTCCAGCTAAACAATCACCCAATAACGGGATGAGCTCCACGGTGTTCAAACAGAGACTGAAAGGGTTTGTTATTCACACTTCTCACTTGAAAATTGGTAAAGGATTTTCTCCATGAAGGAGCAGTGTAATGAAGGTTGCAAAGTAGGCAAAGAAATCAGCAAGAGGATTGGTGAATCTAAATAAGCACTTATTGCTAAAGAAAATACTAATTCATGGCGGAGGGGTAAATGTTAGGTGGAAGTGAAGTTAGACACACATGTTGACACTCCATGTCAGCTGGAGACAAGCTCCATGCTTAGACAAGCATGTTGACACCCCGTGTGGGCTGGAGATGCCAGCTCACCTCAGACATGCATGGTGATGTGCAATAGGATAGCAGGACAGCAACAGAAAAGGGTAAGCTGTAAAAACTGGACCGGGAACAGAAATATAAATTCCATCAATACAGTGATGATGCAGAAAGAGAAAAAAGTAAACAAAGGAGAAAGGATGAACCGCCATAAAATTAGATGGTGGAAGGAACACCTGATGGCTGGGTGATCACAGAGCCTGAGCGAGCCCTGGTGCAGGCAGCTGTGTGCGTCTCTGGCTCCCTTGGCTGTTGGAGGGCTAGGCCTGCAAGCCGGAGGACGCTGTGACTTCTGTCCCATGTGGCACAGTGCCTGTCCCATGGCCTCGGGAGGTCTGTAAAGAAAAAATAAAACAACTTGTTTATTTTAATTAAATTGAACAATGGCAGCAAAGGGAAAAACAACTCTGAAGTCTTAGTAAATTATAGCCATAAGGAAAACACAAGAAAGGACATTCAAATGTTAATGAATAGTAAAATGCAATGTTACTGGAACTCAACTCAAACTGCAAAGTTTTACTGTTTTACCTATCAGAGACAGGTTTTTTTTTTTTTTTTTGAAAACTTTGTATTTGAATGGCAGAGTAACACACACACATACACACACACACATGCAGACAGGGAGAGGGAAGCTGGGAGTGAGAGAGGGACAGGGAGAGAGAGAGAGACAAGTCCATCCAACAGATTCACTCCTTGATTGCCTTCAACAGCCAGGGATGGGCCAAGAGCCCAGAACTCCATCCAGGTCTCCCACATGGGTGGCAGAAATCCAAGCACTGGGCCTTTCAGATGCATTGGTAGGGGCTAGATCAGACGCAGAGGTGAGATTCTGCCCCAGGCGCTCCAGTATGGGATGTGGGCATCCCAAGCAGCAGCTTACCCCACTGTTCCACAATACCTGCCCCAGAGCAAGATCTTGTTGTTGTTTAATTATCTATGTGTTTGAGAGAGAGAGAGGGAGATGGAGACCTCTCTCTCCCATCTGCTGGTTCACTTCCCAAATGCCTACATTAATTGGCTGGTCTGAGGATGAAGCTAGGAGCCTGGAACTCAATCAAGGGTTCTTAAGTGGGTGGCAGGAACTCACAATTACTTGAACCATCACTGTAGCTAGAGATCAAACCAAGGTGCTCTGATATGGGATGCTTTACTTGAAAGGCAGAGTTATAGATGGAGGGAGAGACAGAGAGAGAGGTCTTCCATCTGCTGGTTTACTCCCTAGATGGCTGCAAGGAATGACTGGAGCTGCACCAATCCGAAGCCAGGAGCCAGGAGCTTCCTCCAGGTCTCCCACGCAGGTGCAGGGGCCCAAGGAAGCAGGCCAACTTCCACTACTTTCTCAGGACACAGAAGAGAGCTGGATTGAATCTGTGCCCATATGGGATGCTGGTGCCACAGGCGGAGCCTTAACCTACTGTGCCAGGATGCAGGTGTTTTAACCAATGCCCTAACCACTAGGCAAAATGTCCACTCTAGAGGAAGATTTTTAAATGACAATATTAATATGGGAAGTGAGCAAAGAAGTGTTTGCTTATACTGTAGGACAGATTATAAATTGCTTCAAACTTTTTGGTAAAGAATTTCATTTCCAAAATTTTATACCATTTGGGGTTGTTTTCATTACAACTGACCACAAATCATTTTTTAAAGATTTATTTATTTATTTGAAAGAGTTACACACACACACACACACACAGAGGGAGAGAGAGAGAGAGAGAGAAAGAGAGGCAGAGAGAGAGGTCTTCCATCTGCTGGTTCACTCCCCAACTGGTTGCAATGGCCGGAGCTGCACCGATCCGAAGTCAGGAGCCAGGAGCTTCTTCCGGGTCTCCCACTTGGGTGCAGGGGCCCAAGGACTTGGGCCATTTTCTACTGCTTTCCCAGGCCACAGCAGAAAGTTGGATCGGAAGTGGAGCAGCCGGGTCTCAACCGGTGCCCATAAGGGATGGCGGTGCTTCAGGACAGGGCATTAACCTGCTGCGCCACAGCACCGGCCCTGAACCACAAATCATTTTTAAGTGGTTTAAAAGAGAATTTATTGCCCCCAAATAGTCAGAAATTTGTGTGTGTGTATGTCTGTGCAAATGTGTATATTGTTTATGTGTATGGTCTATGGTGTTCCCTCCTCTGAAGCCTGTTCTTTATGCTCATAAAGTGACTGCTACAGTTGCACACGTCACATTCTGCTGTGTAGAAGGAAGCAGATCATCCTTTCCTAGTTGCCTGAAATTCCCAAAAAAGGTTGCATTCTACCTTGCGGGTGTTGTACGTGGTGGATTGCTGAACCATAGTCATTCTTAAAACGTAGCAATTCCAGAGTGAGTGTTTTGCCTAGCAGTTAAGATGCCTGCCTCCCACGTTAGAGCACCTGGGTTGGATCCCTGGCTCTGTCTCCTGACTCCAGCTTCCTGCCCGTGAGCACCCTGAGAGGCAGAAGTGATGGTTCAAGTGATTGGGTTCCTGCCACCTGTTAGGGAGACCTTGATTGTGTTCCCAGATGTAGAGGGCATTTGGGGAATGAGCCAGCAGATGTGAGCTCTGTCTGTCTTTCAGATAAATGAAATTTAAAAAATTTTAAGTAGCAATTGGGAACAAAATATGATGTAAAATAGAATAGGGAAGACAAAGACAGAAGAATCCAGAAACTAAAACATCTGGATTGGATAAACAGGAAGAGTACACACAGAAGAAAGTTCTCAGCTCTTCCCCTGTCAGGCGGGGCTCCTACTCCACCCTCCCTCTGCTCTCCTTCTCAGCTGCTCGTAAGAGGCATGGAATCTTCACCAAATCCTAGTGTCTCTCAAGCTCTTTTCTATTTTTCCCATTCTTTTAGTCTCTACACATTTTCTGTTTTTTTTTTTTTAAGAATTATTCAGAGAGAATTTTTAAGAATTATTAGAGAGAAAGAGAGAGAGAGAAATCTTCCATCAGTTGATTCATTCCCCAAATGCCCCCAGTAGCCAAGGCTGGTCTAGGCTGAATTCATGAGCCCAAAACTCAATCCAGATCTTTCATGTTGGTGACAAGTTCCCAAATACCTGAGCCATTCCAGTTGCCTCCCAGGATACCCGTTAGTGGAAAGCTGGAATCACAAGTGGAGCTGAGACCTGAATCAGGTGCTCTTGATATGGAGGTAGGCATCCCAAGTGGTGCCTTAGCAGCTGTGTCAAGCTCCTGCTCGCTCTGTGTATTTTCTTCTTATCCGTCTTCCAGTTCACTAATCCTCTCTACAGCTGTGCTTAATTACGTCTTCATCTATTGTACTCTTAATTTCTTTTGTTTTCAGCTTCAGAACTTCAGTGTTTCATGGTTTATATTCTCTGCTGAAACCTTAATCTTGTCTTTCATTTCACTGAGCACATTGAATAGGAATTTAAAGTCTATCTGGTAACTCCACGTTCTGGATCTCCAGTGGATCTGTTGTTCCAGATGTCTGCTTTTTCTCCAACTTTGTGGTCATGTCAACTGGTCTCTTAAATGCTTCATTATTTTTGATTGCATGCCAGACATATTTGAAACACTCAGGTTTGATTGGAAACTCTGGATGATGTTACCATTTTTTTTTAGAGAGAGGATTTATGCTTGGCTTTGGCAGTCTGCTAGACTAGGGACTCCACAATCCCAGCTCACCTTCTAATCAAATGCGAGGCTTCAGACTCAGTGATTCACTATATCTTAGGATATAGTCTTTTGGGTCACAACTTGAAGCCTGAGATGTTTAACAATGGGTCCTGAATTCCAGCATCTGTTCCAGAACCCTGAGGATGTGCCAAAAGCTTAGCTCGAATTCTAATGTGTGCCTTGTTTCTTCAGGGGCTCCTGGGGGAAGCAGCCTCATGCAAGATCCAGCACTCGGGGCGCCTCTGCTCTCCCACATCTCAATGCCCCTGTTTCTCACGGCTTGGAGCTCTCAGTTGCCTTCTAACAGATGTTTATTTTCTTTGTTGTTGTTGTTTGTTTGTTTGTTTTTTGCCTTGCTGGTGTATCTCACCCAGAGTCTGCCATTGCCATGGTAGAGGTCATCATGGACTTCAGAATCCTTTTAGGTATGGGTTCAAATCTCACCTTGATCTTTCAATAGGTAAGCGACCTTGGATTAGTATTTCACCTTTCTGAGCCCGTTTTCTCTCTGTAATAAGGGGCTAATACCTGCTCTGCTGTACTGATTTCAGGCACAGAAATTACATATGTCATGGACCTGGGAATGTATGATGCATGGTAGGTAGTCAAAACATTTAGCTCTGTTTTTAAAGCTTTGCTTTATTTATTTATTTATAAATAAGATAGATCAAGAGATTGCAAAATTGAGAGAGAGATAGAAATCTTGTGGATTTTGTATCTCCTGGTTCATTCCCCAAATGCCCATAGTAGCCAGGGCTAAGTCAGGCCAAAGCCAGGAGCCAGGAGCTTGGTCTGTGTCTCCCATATAAGTACATGAAACCCAAGTTACTTGAGCCATCTGCTGTTGCCTCTCAGGTGCACTAGCGCAGAGCTGATAAGAAGTAGAGGTGGGCCGGCGCCATGGCTCACTAGGCTAATCCTCCGCCTTGCGGCGCCGGCACACCAGGTTCTAGTCCCAGTCGGGGCGCCGGATTCTGTCCTGGTTGCCCCTCTTCCAGGCCAGCTCTCTGCTGTGGCCAGGGAGTACAGTGGAGGATGGCCCAAGTGCTTGGGCCCTGCACCCCATGGGAGACCAGGATAAGTACCTGGCTCCTGCCATCGGATCAGCGCAGTGCGCCGGCCGCAGCGCGCTGGCCATGGCGGCCATTGGAGGGTGAACCAACGGCAAAAGGAAGACCTTTCTGTCTGTCTCTCTCTCACTATCCACTCTGCCTGTCAAAAAAAAAGAAAAAAAGTAGAGGTGGGGCCTGGTGCTGTGGCACAGTGGGTAAAGCCACTTGTAGTGCTGGCATCTTATATGGGCACTGGGTTGAGTCCTGGATGCTCCACTTCCAAACCAGCTTTCGGCTATGGCCTGGGAAAGCACTAGAAGATGGCCCGCGTCCTTGGACCCTGCACTTGCGTGGGAAACCTGGAAGATGCTCCTGGCTTCAGATTGGTATAGTTCCAGCCATTGCAGCCATCTAGGGAGTAAACCAGTGGATGGAAGACCTCTCTCTTTCTCTCTCTCTCTCTGTGCCTCTGGCTCTCTGTAACTCTGCCTTTCAAATAAGATAAATAAATCTCAAAAAAAAAAAAAAAAAAAAAAAGAAGAAGAAGAAGAAATAGAAGTGGGACTTGACCCCATGCAGTAGGGTGTGGAATGAGGGCGTCCCAAATGGTGTTTTAACCAGTTGTGCCACAAGGCCGCCCCCTACCGATATTCCAATGAGTC